TGTAGGAGGGGCTGCGTGCGGGGTCCCTGGGGAGGGTCCCAGGAGGAAGGAGTTTATCTTGCTAAATCCCTCCTGCGACCTGGTGGCTTTTAGGGAATCCCTCGGAGAGTTCTGCCTGTGGATGGAGGCCGTGGGGCGTGGGGGGGTGGACGGGACCGGGGCACCTCCCGGGAGGGGAGGAGCAGTGGAGGTCAGGGTGGGCTGGTGCGCGGGGAGCGGGGGGGCGGGATGGAATGGGCTGTACCAGTGAAAGGAACAGGCCTGCGCTAGTAAAACAAAATCCTGCTGTCTCCTGGTGCAGCGAGAGGGCAGGCGGTTTGGAGGCTGAAGGCAGCATGCTTCCAGCACCCACAGTGGGAAGCGTACCCTGAAAACAAACCTCCTCCCGACCTGTGGCTAGGCCTGCTGGTGTTCCTTTTGTTCTCTTCCTCCCTAAGCATCCTGAATCCAGACCCCATGAGTGTTTGCCACAAGTGTGAGGGGCTCCAGTGAAGCTGTGATGTGTTCCATCTGCCCTTCCTGTGTTACCTGTCCCCAGCTGGCATCGCCCTTCCTGCCATGGCTCTTGAATAAGGAGCTGTATTTCTTGTCAGCCTTCAGTTTCCAGCCCTTTACACCATTTCTGATGTTGTTCTTGCAGGGGTGTGAACACTTTTTCTCCAGAGGGGAGGCTGTTCCAAGTGGAGTATGCTATCGAGGCCATAAAGGTATCGTCAGCTCTGTCTGGTTGCCAAACTGCGTTGTTAAGGGCTCTTTCAAACCCCAAACCTGGGTTTTGTTAGAAATAAAACAGGCAGGTTCTACTCATCTGGGCTCTGGTCTTGCTCTGTGATGAGGCAGGGTTTGGCCGGTTCCCAAGGCAGTACGCAACGCCGAGCGGGAGCTGCTGCCTTTCCTCGTGGGCGCTGCTCCGGCATGCGACTGCTCTGGCAGCTCTTTGCCAGCCCTTCACCCACGGTTTGTAGTAGGAGAGCTGTACGCCAGCGTTCAATTCCTTCCGTCTGCCAAACCTCCTGCAGCTCTGCTCTTTTATGGGTTGTGAAGAATCAAAAGCCATCGATTTCCCCCAAATTCAGGGGAATGTTCCTCTCCCTCTCTCCTGCCGACCAATTTACCCCCAAACCAAACACAATCCAAAGATGCTAATCCCCAAATCAAACCTACTAAAAGCTAATGCCGAGGCGAGGGGTGCTGGATGCCTGCATGCCATGACTCTGCCTGCAGAAGCTCACGCTGCCAGCACGTCGTGCATTTCATGTCTGTAAACACTTAGATAAGAGCAGAGGAGCGCTCTGCTTTTGCTTCACCTCCCTGAGCTAATGCTTCCCTTCCAGGCCGTGGGCTTTATGTGGAGTCCCTTTTAAAAAACAAAACAAAACAAAAAACCCATGGTGGCAATTTTTCTTTTCCTAGGTCAGCTTTCCTTTTCTTAGCTTGCTGCTGTTGCAGCTTGGCGTGGGTCACCCTTTCCTCAGGTGAATTTTAAAACCTGAAGGTAAAAGTTGTCATGAGCAAACTAACCTACCTCTGCAGAGCCAAACGGCCTTGCCGGGGCGTTAAGTGTTTTTAATTGATAAATATTCTTGTTTCTGACAGTGTGGGCGTTAATTGGGAATAAGTTTATAAACTTGGGGGGGAAACGGGTCAAGCGAAGAAGCTCTGAGCAGGCCTGTGTTTGGACTGGGGAAAAGGAGGGCGCTGGCTTTATCTTCCCTGTACCCCTTATTGAAGTAGTGCTTGTTGAAGCACTGCTTAAATGAGGAGGCCAAAAATAATAATGTTTATTAAAGCATTGGGAAGTAGAAACTCTCAGAAGGGTGTCAGTCACCATGCTGGCTTTATACTTGCAAATACAGCTACTAGAGGACCAATCATACAGAAGCCTGCTGGCTTTTCCCTCTTTTCCAGATCAGCCTGACTGAATTGCCACAGCTCAGGTGGCTCTTGTGACACGTTACGTGTGGTGCCCCCTGCGTTAGGGGCGTGAGAGGAGTTTTTATTGGCGTGCTCTAGCTTCATTAACAAAAATACATCTGGGATGACATCAGGTGTCCCTTCTTCCCTTGGGGTTTGTGTGCCGCTGTGGCAGGCTGCGTGCTTAAAGGATGGGAGTGTTGGGCGACATCTAAACCATGAGTGCCTGCGGTGGGGAGATTCCCCTCTGCCTGGCCTGTGGGGAAGCTTGCTGCTAAAATTATCCCATGTAGCCTGATTTGGGTATTTGGAGTCAGCATCCCCACGCTGCAGGTGGTTATTCCAGTAAATGCCCCAGCGTGGAAAAGCTGAGAGTACCGGGAGCAAGGTAGGGTGGGAGCCCTTGAGGTCTGACCCTCCACCTCGGCTGTGCTCCTGGCTGTGGTGATGCTGTGGTGTCCTGGAGAACCAGGGTAAAATCTGCTGCAGGTGATGAGCTGCTGCCTGGAAAACGGTACGTGTGCAAAATGCTCTTGTTCCTGCTGTAAATTTTGTGGATACAAGGTAGCCTGGGAGAAAAGGAGCTAATGGGAAGAAAAATGCCCAAGCCAGAAGTACAGATGCAATCAGAATTAAGACCGTTGTGTGAAATCCTCCTCTCTCGCTTTAAAATTTAATTTCTGTCTTGCAAATGAAGAATTCACAAGGCCTTTTAAATTCATAAGGCTTTAAGCTGTAAAAATTGATGTTGCTCACGGAGGAGCTTGGTGATTTGCAGCAGCCCTGCTGGGTTCTGATGAACTAATCAGCTGGGAATTAGCACGGGTTTAACCTTTCCAGTTTCCTACTTCAAGTCGTAACATTTAAAATGCAGTGCACAAAGCCTTGCGGGTGGGTTTCTGTGTCGGTGATGCAATTATCTCCAAAACAAAACGCCTACAAATAATACAAGTCAAAATTAGCGTTGCACCGATTATATTTATGTGAGCTGTCGTGGCTGGGCCCTGTGTCGAGTGGTAACTGTGTGGTGGTTTCCAGCTTGGTTCCACGGCCATCGGGATCCAGACCTCGGAGGGCGTCTGCCTGGCTGTGGAGAAGAGGATCACCTCCCCGCTCATGGAACCCAGCAGCATTGAGAAGATTGTAGAAATCGATTCCCACATAGGTAAGGAATCACAGAATCATTTGGGTTGGCAAAGCCCTTTAAGCTCCCCCAGCCCAACCGTTCCCCTACCCCTGCCATCCCACCCCCAAACCCTGGCCCTC